CCGTAAGCTTTACCGACAACCCCGCAAAAATCCCCCCAAAAAATCCCCCAAATTGTTTAAATCTCCCTAAAACTCCCCCCGGAAAGTTCTTCCCCCTAAATCTCGCCCCGAAGGGCCAAAAAACCCCTAAATCTAGAGGGAAAAACCCCTATCTGGCAACACTGAGTCATCTAATAGCGTATTCGGGCTGCGTTTCACTTAACGGCTGCTTTCCTTTTAGGAGACACAGTCGACACACTTGACACAAATCGACACACGTCGCTTTCCATTTACAATTTTGTTCAAACTCAATCGACACACTTCGCCTCTGCTCGGGAGGAAAGTCAGAGTGTGTTTCGAGTCTGTTCAAGTGTGATTTTATGAATTAAGTGATATTAGAACGCACCCGCAAACCAATTTCCACCATTTTATTCTGTTTTCTTTGCTCGGCCAGTCTCGGTATTTAGACGAATGTTAATAAAACATTACAATGGCAAGTATTATACACTTACAATTTATATTAAGAATAAATAAGAAAACAATTGTATATTAAGATTTTTTAACTTTTATTACATTAATAATTTATTGAGGTTAACTTTTCTTATTATTTGTATAGGATTTCGATTCTAATTTCATTTGTGCCACTTGTGACGGCATTTTTGTTGATGCAGAGGCGTTTAGGAATCATAAGTGCGAGCCGCTTAACAAGGTTGGAAAAGATGAACGTAAGTATATTTGAATCTTCCCTTAACCTTAAATTTTTTAGAGTAAAATTTTATTTTTTAAGAATGACTCTAATCCCTCTTTAGAAAAGTCAAGATCATTCAACTCTAAAAACAGCGAATTTTATTCTGCTTTCAGAGTTGAATAATTTTGACTTTTTCAAAAAGTGATTAGAAATCATTCTTAAAAAATATAATTGTAAATATGTATGTATATAAATATCTTGCATATATATATATATATATATACATACATATATTTATCTTTGTTGCAAATATGTTTGCTTTCCTTTTAGAGGATATATTTGACACAAATATCAATTTATCTTTATCGTTCGTTGAATGTCAAAAAGATAAACAATGTCAAAAAAGAAAACATACTATATAACATTGTTTGTGATCATTGAAATCATTTGAATAACATTGTTGGCTACGATATATTTTCGAATGATAGTCACAGTTATTATTTCGCATCTTTATTATAAATTAAATTTATTATAAATTATAATTATAATAAGTATCATAAATTGATAGCAATAAGGTATATATTCAGATTATATATGTCATGTAATATATGTATTGCAGCATTCCAGTGGAACCATAATGCTATATTAGGTTTATTAACTGTATATCATACTATACAACCTGATAAAGAAAATGTTAGAAAACACAAACACTTCTGGCAGAATCTTGCGAAAGATTTACGAACATTAGGATATGAGGTATGTATAATTACTTTTTATAAGTTAATGAATCTGAAATTCTCGATACGGTATAAAATTTAACTAATGAATATTATTTCAGGTGACTGCTGATCACACCAGATGGAAATTTAATGCACTGTTAAAGAAATATAAAGAATGTGTCGACAACAATTCTAAATCAGGAAGAAGTCCAATGACATTTGCTTATTTTAATGAAATGCAAGAAATGTTTGGACACCGAAAAAATATTAATTGCAATCACATAATCGGTTCTTCATTTTTTGGGAGCAAAAGACAATCATCTTCATTCGTCGAATCTGATAAACAAATATCGACAGCAACAAAAAGAAAACAAGCGATATCATCTACATCTGAATCATTACCAACAAAACTTTCAAGAATTGAATGTCAGCAAGAGTTATTAAATATGGCATCTTCTGCAGCATCTTCTGAAACATCTTCTGATATAGTTTCTGAAACACCACTTTCTAAAGAAAGAAAAAAAAGTCGACCTGGATCTGCAACATATGTTGCCAAGACTAAACTGGAACTAGAAAAACAGTGGTTGGAACATCTAAAAGTATTAGCTATAAAAAATCAGAAAGACGATGAAAAACTAAAGAGAATAGATGAGAGATTACAATTAAAAGAAAAACAGTTATTATGGAAAGAAGCGGTAGTAAAGCGAAAAATGGAAAAGAAAGAAGAGAGGCACAGAGAACGAATGAGAATTGAAAATGAAAAATGCCAATTATTGAAAGAATTGGTAGACTCAAAACATCTATTTTCTATGAATGATATGCTCTCATTTAAAAAATAAGAAAAGTACTGTTTATTAAAATTATTTTTTTTATTACTTTAATTAAAAGTTACGTAAAATTTAATAGAACGCAATATATTTGTAATTTAAAACTTTTTAAACAGATTCCTTTTTATTTTAGTATTTAAAAGTCATTATTTAATTGGAAAGTTTATGAGTTTATATGAGTTTCTGAAAGAGTTCCTATACACCAAGTTGAATTTAAAGAAATATATATTTGTTTTAGACTAAAACAATTTTCTAAGATATTTTAGTTATATTATTAAAAGTTACATGTCGTTAGTAAATGTATAAGAGTTTTTAGAGCGATCTCATTTCAATAATAAGAATTATTAGTTTAATCAATATAATTTTGTTTTGTCAAAAGTCGTACAAAGAAGACAATCCCTTATGTGATATATACTATATAACGACTTTGTATTTGCATAAATGTATGTGTTTTTTTTATTTTAAGCAAATACATTGAGTTACATTTTTCGTAGTAAAGTTTAAAAGGTACGTGGACAAAGTATGCAAAGTACAAATAAAAGTTATTTATGAATATACATATGAGATGTGATATTATATTATATAAATATTCATTGTGGAAACATTTCATAAAATAAACTCGATCTTCGGTCGTTACCATTTTCTTCATTTCCATTTTCTCTTACATTTATATTATTATCTAAACCGCTATCTTCATCATATAAATCCATGCCGTCATCAAAAGCAGCAATGCATATATTATGTAAAATACAGCACGCAATAACTACTTCAATTATAAATTGAATATCTTGATACTCATTAAAAAATTTTAAGCGTCGAAAGCGTCCTTTCAATACACCAAAAGCCTTTTCTATTGCCATACGTGTAGATGAATGAAGAAAATTAAACTCAATTTGCTGTGCTGTGAGTTGACCATTATTTCTAAACGGTGGTACTAACCAAGACAAGGACGGATATGCAGAATCACCTAATATAAACGTTCTGTTCGGAAATATTCTATTCTTATTATTTTGTGATTCCCAATGAAGACTTGATCGCCGTAATACCCTGGCATTGTGGATGATCCAGGTTCACCACAATAAATATTTGTAAATCGCATATCAGCTGTAACAATTGCTTGTAATATTATCTAGTAATTTTTTTTCCGATTACAATAATCAGAGCAGCATTTTCTTGTGGCTGTAGAATGGTAATATGGGAGCCATCAATCGCCCCAATACAATTTCGAATTCCTCTTTTATTTTGAAAGCCTTGAGCTGCTGCAATCAATGATTCTCCTTCTGGCCACTTGATTATATTATCTAATTTAGTTAGAATCCAAGTAATTACTCGCCGAATCACGCGAAATATTGATGATATGGACACATCAAATCTATCCGATAAAGTGCGATACGGTTCAGTGTTAGCTAGAAACCATAATGTGATAAATAAACTCCATTCTGCGGATATCTTTGGTCGACCAAATGAATGTGATGGCAAAATTCCACTTTCTGCAAGTTCATCTGCAAATTCAAATAAAAAATGATAAAGAAAGTTTATGAAGCGAATAAATTGATAAGAATAATAATAGTAAGAAATAATTATCTATTTGATATTCAAGATTACAAAAATTACACATATATTTCATAAATATCAAAAGCAAGAAAGTCTTATTCTGTAAAGGTGTGAAATAACTGCAAAAGGAAGGTAATCGTGTAATTTACTAATTTTATCTTTATCTTTATCTTATTTAGATATATCAGTCATAATTTCTCATCATTCTGTACTAACTGTAACTGTGAAATTATCCTATTGACATATACACATTCATGAAATATGTCATAACATTTGTTAAAATAAGAAAATGTAGTAATCTATAAGAAATAATTTCCATATATGTACCAATTAATGTTATGGCAACATTACGATGCAATCTCAAGTGTTCTTTGAATTCTGTATCCGTCCAACTATGTACAACTTCGATGTAGTTTTCTACGCGATTCCTTTTACGACCAGCTAGCAGCATTTGTAGGATTGGAAACAGAATATCATGATTATCATCAGTTGAAAATTCATATTCACTACTACTAGTAATGCTGCTACTACTACTGCTGCTGCTACTGCTACTACTACTACTGCTATTTTCCATCAGAATATTCATTATTGCATTCATCTTAAAGAAATAATCGGATCTCGTGTATTCGTTAAGGTTAAAATTCGAATCTTTTAAGGTTAGGTATTAATAGTTCGTACACACGATACACATTATGGCGTTCCATTTAAGTGTGGCAAACTGTGTTCGAGTGTGTTATACTGTGTCGATTTGTATCTCCTAAAAGGAAAGCAGCCAACGCTCATAACGCTCGTGGAATCATTTCATCCTTGTCGTTTATCAAATGTTAAGGACGTTCTCCGAAAAATCCATTTTCTTTAGATTTTTCTGAAACTTATAGCGTTTTCGGCCCGACCGGGTTTGCATCAACCTGGGTTGGATTAATGGCGTTTTGCGCTCTCCTATTGGTAGAGCGTGTGACATCAACCAATAGGAAAGATTAATCCAACCCAGGTTGGTGCAAACCCGATCGGGCCGAAAACGCTATTACAGAATAAGCTTGTTTCAGTGTTCTGAACATATATACTTTGAAGCTCAGTACTCGTTGCGGGATTAAAAATCGAGATATTCCACTTCAAAGTTGAAACGTTTAACATAGAATCTC